GATTTTTTTTTTAGTTAATATTGTGTCCTGCAACATTACCTAAGGTGTTTATCTGTTGTGTTCTCTGGTAGAATTTTTGGGTCACATATTGTAGACTATCATATTATCTTAAAATAGTGAAAGTTTAACTTCTAATCCCTGCTGGCTTTCATAGTCTCAACTGAAAATTACATTATGGGGATGACCCCTGCCCTCCTATGCAATTGATCTTTCTCTCTTGCACATTACACAGAGCATTATTGGAGAGGATGTGCAGCAAAGGGAACACTCTTCCACTTTTGTGGGAGTGCAAACTTGTATAGGAACTACATCAATTAGTATGGTGAATTCTCAGAAAATTGGGAATCAGTCTACCTCAAGACCCAAAGATACCACACTCCTCTACATATACCCAATGGATACTCAATTATACCAGAAGGACACTTGCTCAGCTATGTTCATAGAAGCATTATTGGTAATAGCCAGAACCTGGAAACCTAGATGCTCTTATATTATTGGTTGTGAGCCGAGCCTTTTAATGGCTGAGCCATCTCTCCAGTACCAAATTGAAACTTAACAGAGAAATAAAGGACTTAACTGATGTCTTGACCCAATTGGACCTAATAGATATCTACAGAACATTCCAACCCAACAATAAGGAATATACCTTCACTCAGCACCCACTCCTGGGCATATACCCAAGAAATGCTCAATCATACCACAAGAGCACCTGCTCAGCTCTGTTCATATCAGCATTATTTGTAATAGCCAAAACCTGGAAACAATCTAGATGCCCATTAACTGAAGAACGGATAAAGAAAATGTGGTACATATACACAATGGAGTACTACTCAGCAGAGAAAAACAAGACATCATGAGGATTTCAGGCAATGGATAGATCTAGAAAAAAAATCATCCTGAATGAGGTAATCCAGACTCAGAAAGACAAACATGGTATGTACTCACTCATAGGAGGATACTAGATGTAAAACAAACATGATTAGACTGCAATTCACAACTCCAAAGAGGCTACCTAGAAAAGAGGATCCTAAGAAAGACACAGGGATCACCCAATGACAGAGAAATGGATGAGATCTACACAGACAACCTGGACATGAGTGGGAGTATTGAAGGGCAAGTTTCAAGGGAAAAAGAGTTTAGGGGAGTGGGAGATAGCAGATGGATCAAGAACAGATAGGAAGAACAAGAAATAAGGGACCATGATAAATGAAGATCACATGGTAATAGGAAGAAGCAAAGTTCTAGAGAGGTCCCCAGAAATCCACAAAGATACCTCCACAATAGACTACTGGCAATGGTTGAGAGAGTGCCAGAACTGACCTACTCTGGTGATAGGATGTCCAAACACCATAACTGTCGTGCCAGAAATCTCATCCAATGACTGAGAGAAGGGGATGCAAAGATTCATGGCCAGGCCCCAGGTGAAGCTCCAGGAGTCCAATTGGTGAGAAGGAAGAGGGTTGTATGAGCGAGAATTGTTGAGACCAAGATTGGAAAAACACATGGACAAATAGTCAAATGAATGAAAACACATGAACTATGAACCAATAGCTGAGGAGCCCCCAACTGGCTCAGGACCCTGGATAAGTGAGACAGTTGATTAGCTTGATTTGTTTGGGAGGCACCCAGGCAGTGGGACCGGGACCTGTCCTTAGTACTTGAGCTGGCTCTTTGGAACCTGGGACTTACACAGGGACACTTGGCTCAGCCTGGGAGGAGGGGACTGGACCAGCCTGGACTGATTCTACCAAGTTGAACTCAATCCTCAGGGAAGTCTTTGCCCTGGAGGAGATGGGAATAGGGAGTGGGCTGGGGGGAAGGCATTCTTCTTTACTTGGAAGTGTTCATTGCAAAGAGTCATTGGTCTCGTTCAAAGCCTTTGGTCTCTGCTGTCTTATCAATGCTGGACCCTCACTAAGGCTCCTACGGAATATCCAGTTGTTGCCCTATATTTTAGAGATCATGAAACTTTAGGTCTACAGGCCAGGACCCTTCACAAGCTCCAGTAGATCTTAGATGGTGTGGATAGTGGAGCAGGCCAAGTCATATCCCTTGGTCTGGGCCTGGAAAGCTCTAGAACTGTTCCACCGGATGTCAAATTGGGACAACCCTCCCATGCTTACAACTTTTGGGCTGGCTAACACACACCTGCACTAACAAGGATGGCTCCATTGTGCTGCTCTGTCGAGGTGGAGGGCCTGCTCTCCCAAGTGTTGCACTGGTAGGGGTCAGGTATTTCTCGCCCTCTCCTATGACCACAGAGGCAGCTCCCCCACGTGCCCTAGATATTGATGGGCATTGGTGGAGGTAGGAAACTCTCCTTCACCCATGCCACCTCAAGACAGATGGGTAATAGGGACAGATCTCCCATGCTCACAATTTTTCAGCTGGCTCATGCATATCTGCACTAACAAGGTTGACTATTGTGCTTCCCTCCTGAGGTATAGGGTTTGCTCTCCCTAGAGTTGCAGCTGATGGGGGTCAGGGATAGTTCTCCTATTCCTATGACCACAGGGCATGCTCTCCCTTGTTGTGGGATGTCCTGTATGCTGTGAATATATGTTGACATAATTGATAAATAAAATTCTGATGGACTGGTGGCCAGGCAGGAAAGTTAGTTTACGCAGGACAAGGAGAGGAGAATGCTGAGTGGAAGAAGGCTAAAGAGAGAGTGCCAAGCCTCAGCTGCAATTCATGAACAATTCACACCTTCAAAACCAGTACCACCTGGGTGACTTTCACACCACCAAGTTTGACTGCCATTGAAATACAACTGCCTCTGGAATACAGCATCCGTGTGCTCTCAGGAAACACTTGTCAGAAGATTTCAAGTCAGCAATGCTGGGTTCTTCTTCTACTCACCTATATTTCTCAACTCCAGCCAAGCAGCATCGAGTATCCCAGTAAAACAAAGCTTTCAATTCAGTAGTTCAGATATTTTGTTAATCATAGCTGATTATTCAGCCCCAGATCACCAGGGCCACAGGATCTTAATTCAAAATAGCAAATGGCCCCAATAAACCCTTTAAACTTCCCTCTGAAATTTCACAAGCCAGGTTCCCATCTTCTGCATTGCCCTCAACATTTTTATATTCCAACTACTATGGCACAGCTCTCCAAGTATAAAACACTTAGAGAATTTTCTTATACAATGTTCTAAAATACCTCCACGGTCCTCCTACAAAACAATGTGGTCAGGTCTGGTAAAGCAAGACCCCACTCCTGCTACCAACATGTCTTAGTTAGAGTTTCTATAGCTACAATAAAACAACATGGCCAAAAAGCAAGATGGAAAGGAAAAGGCTTATTTTGCATACACTTTCACATCTGACTCCATCATTGCAGGAAGCCAGGATGAAAATCAAACAAGAACTGAGGAAGAGGCCATGAAAAGGTGCTGCTTACTGCCTTGCTCAGCATGCTTTCTTATAGAACTCAGGACCACCAGCCTAGGAATGTCACCACCCACTTTGAGCTGGGTCCTCCAAGTCAATCATTGATTATGAAAATGACCTATAGCTGGATCTCATGAAGATATTTTCATTCTAGGGGCCGGGAGGCTTTAAGACAGGATTTCTTTATGCAGCCTTGGCTATCCTGTAACAACTGAAGACCAGGTTGGCCTCAAACTCACAGATATCTGCCAGCCTGTGCCTCCCAAGTACTGGGATTAAAGGTGTGCACCACCACCCCAGCTTTAAAACATTTTCTTAATTGAAGTTCCCTCCTCTCAGATGACTTTATTTTGTGTCAGATTGACAAAAAACTATCCAGTGCAGGGTACCTGAGCTGAAAGGAAAAGTGGATACATGCCTAATTCCAAACCCAGAAGCAATATCCAGTTGATACCCAGCTGCTAATGAAAGTTTAGTTTCCTCCAAAGGCATCTCACTGGGGAAACCAACTACTTTGGAGGGAAGAATGCATGTTCAACAGTAGATGGCAACAGAAAATGAACTCAATGGCATCTTTGGATGTTTGTTATCTCACAATATCATTTCAGGGTGTTTTCCTTTTTTGTTTGTTTGTTTCTTTGTTGTTTTTGTCTTGTTTTGTTGTTTTGTCTTGTGTAGTTTTGTCTTGTTACTTTTTCTTCTCTCATTTTACACTATGGGTACTTTGAGTATGTTCACTATACGTTTTGGTGGATCTGAGTGTGCAACCAAATGGGACTGTGATTCATCTGACTTTTCTTGGGCTCCTTTCCTTCTCTTTGTTTATTTTGATGTGTTATTTTTATCTTAGTATATTTTATCTTAGTGTATTTTATTTTATTATTATCCCATCGAAACCTGTTGATTTTCTAGTGAGACACAGAAAGGGGTTGGATTCAGATGTGTGTGAATATGTGAGTGCATGTGCGTGTGCTTGTGTGTGTCTGTGTGTGTGTGTGTGTGTGTTCATCCCTTGGAGCTACTGTTACAGGTGGGTGTGAATTATATTTTATTAGGGCTGTGTATTGAATTCAGCCACTTTGCAAGAGCAGTATATGATTGTGTCTACTGAGACATCTCTCCAGCTTCTGCAATATTCTCCAGTATCTGTTTATTGAAACATCCCTCTCACTCCTAAGTTCTACTCCTCTAACTTCCAGGATGCATCACGATTCTCTAGTTTTCCCCCTACAAGGGGTAGCATTGTTTTGCCTTCATCTGCAAACATGAGGTCACAAACTTCCTGCAGTTTCTCTCAATACTCAATTGCTGTCAAGTTTCACATTCTTTTGGATATCAAAAAGAAGCCTCTGAGTTTATTTCAAATCTTACTGTACATTAGGAAAGCAAAGAATATTTCCACTCCAGACAAATGTCCAATATCCATGTCTTGTAACAATAGGTGGCTAAGTGGAAGATTATAGGAGACAATGCAGATAAAAGTAGTATACATGACACTGATAAACATCATTAGAAGAAACAGTGAGAGTCACCAGATAATGCATACATCTTGCATTGTATCCTAATAGGTGGTTCTGTTCCAACACTATAGTTGTCAGTTAAAATTTATGAAATGGGAGTTCTGGAAGATGATTTCTCTCTTAACTTTTGAAGAGAATTTCTCTCTGGTCTTATTAAAATGATGTAGCACTTGGGGACAAAGATGCATCCCAGCAAGCCTGCACTGGAGGCTAAGATGGAGAAGACCTCCACAGCCATCATTATCTTCCCCTTGGAGCTGTGGTAGACAGGGAGAAAAGTGACCCAGACAGTGCAGAACAACAGCATGCTGAATGTCAAGAATTTGGCTTCATTGAATGTGTCAGGGAGATTCCTGGCCAAAAAAGCTACAGTGAAGCTCCCCAGGGCCAGAGAGCCCAGGTATCCCAAGACAGAGTAGAAAGAAGTTACTGAACCCTTGTTGCACACAATGATGATGTAGCCATGCTCAGAGTATGCATCAATGTCAACAGAGGGAGGAGAAACTCCCAGCCAGATTGCACAGAGAATAATTTGGATGATGGTGCAGAAGGGAATGATGTAGTTAGGTACCCCTGATACCAGGAGCCACTTCATCCTTCTTCCAGGAGAAGTGACTTTGAAAGCCAAAACCACAGTAATTGTCTTGGCCAACACAGTGGAAACAGCTACAGTGAATAAAATACCATATGTTATTTGCTGCAGGACACAGGTAGCTGAGTTTGGATGGCCAATGAAGAGCAAGGAACAGAGGAAACAGAAGATGAGGGAGATGAGCAGGATGTAGCTGAGAGTGAGGTTATTGGCCTTCACAATGGGAGTGTCTTGATATTTCACAAAGACCCCAAGAACCATAACCGTGAATGCAGACAAACATAAGGCCATGCAAGACAGAGTCATCCCCAAGGGTTCATCGAAGCCCAGAAAGGTCACATCTTTGCGGAGGCAGTGGTTCTGCTCTTTGTTGGCATACTGGTCCTCTGGACACTTCATACACTGATCCACATCTGATGCAGAAAGCAAAAGTATTGTTAGTGCAACTTCAGCATTTCTTATGGACAGCGTACTCGAGTATATTATGGAAGCTTTGCAACATCCACATTCTTTAACAATAAAAATGTAATTGAGAATTTTCTAAAGAGCAAGGCTTCATTTCATAATGCCTAATTTCTTTAAGGACAAATGCAGATCCTATTGATACAGTATATAAGGAATCTTTCTCTCGATTAGAGGTGATGCCCTCATGAGAGATGGAGACTTGGTCTTATCCAGGATGAAACCTCTTATAATTTTTTTTATTCCTGCATGATCATCACCAAACACATGAATAGCCGAGCAACAGCAAATAGATTCTATTGTGTGTGTGCATGCAAGTACATATGTATGTGAAAGCAGTAAATGAAAAAGAGTGTTTGAAAATAATAAATGAAAAATTGCTCAGGAATTTATGGTTTTGGGTACATGTGTGGGAAGTAGAATGGGGAGAGAGGGAGATTTTATAAGGACATATGAAATTCTAAAGAAAAAATAATGAAATATGATGCCCTTAGTTGTGACCTCATCAGGGAATGGGGATAACCAACAATTTATAAAATGAAATAATCCTACTATTAAAGGTAGAAAACTCTATACATACATAGTACCCAGAACTCTTGTATCTTATACCACCACCTGTGTGAGCACAGAGCACCTACTTCGTTCTCTAATTTCCATCTATATGAAACCTGTGCGGCGGACCTGCACCCACAATTTCCTCTTGGGTATTCTTGAGGAGTGAGGGATAAGAGATTTAAATAAAAACATAGAGGGGAGAGAGAGAGAAACATAAATACAGGATAGCCTCAGGAGGACCTGGATCCTAATCCATCGGACCTAACGTTTACTCCAAAGATCTTTTTATAACAAAGCCAAGTGGCAGGGCAAAAGACCTTGTCTCTTTTTAAATACAACAAAGTTGTAGACCCTACCAAACACCTAATTCTAGGCCCGATGTCCAGTTATCATCTTATGCCGGTAGAATTTACTCACAGGAAAGTTAGATTTTTCAAGACAATTTCTTTTACCAAATACTATCAGCAATGATTTTACAGTGTGTCAAAGATATTTGCGAAGGCACAAATTGTTATTTATAAGGACATTAATATTGTAAAACAAAATTAGGAAAGGAATAGATGCTATTTGTGCTGTAAAGGGGCCATAGAACTTAGTAGGTCCCCACACTGTCCCTAACTCAACTGACTCCATGATAAAAGTGCCACTCAGAATATAAAACTCACCACCTAGCAGCACAACCTGACAAACTAATGGACTAATCCATCAAAGGATTTATAGTTCTGGGAAAGTCTCAAAATGTACTAATGTTGCTTTTCAGCTTCTGTAGCTCTACTTTTGGCTCACTGTTCTTGGTAAATAAAGAATGTCAACCCACATCATGGTTCTCATGCTTAAAAATCTCACCCTGAGAAAGGCTCAGTGCTCCTCTGGGGTCCTGAACATCCAGTGTAGTTTACCTCCATTTAATAAAGACTTTATTTGACTAAACCTATGTCTGAGCAGTCTTCTCTACTGAATACCACACAAGAGTGCAGCACCCTTCCAGGCCCCTTCAATGTCACAGTGTGTATAGAAGAAGAAAGTCAGTCAGAAGGATTTCCCACTGCAGTAAATAAACACTTA